CGATCATTTCAATTTTATTATATCATATATAAAATTTTTAATTCTTAATAGTATAAGACTATCCTATTCATCCATCTCTCTCTATCTGACGCACATATTTCTAACACAACGCCTGCTATAATGCAAGGATTTTTCTTTTTAACAAATAAGAAAATATTAATTACTTAAAAGAGAGTCTGACCTAAACATGTAGATTGTTTTAGTCTGCCTATATTAACTGCCCAATATGTTCTATTGCATTCTCTAAAATAGTGAATGCAATAAAAAATTTAGAACTGCATGATAAATGTATGAACGTCTAACAAGATGTTCAAATCTCTCAAGGGGAAGTTTTGCCTTCCATGACGTATTCCTTGAGCAATAAAAGGACTTTTTCAAGGATAATTGAATTAAAACCCTCTTGTCAAGCATGCAAAGGATCTTTTTTCTTTACCATAGCTTCACGTTGAATAGTTTGATAAGTCGAGGAATCCACAATGCCAATCATACTCTTTCAACATCTCTAGCAATGAAACTCACACAACTCTCACCTGCAAGGAAGAGAATTCACCAGTATTTAATTTGATAATATCGTTGAAGGGTCACATCCATCTAATGGTGATGCGGTTACAAATAGGGATCATTCTGGTTGTATTGTCTAGCATAGAAAAGGTAGTAACAGCACAATGGAAGACTCATTAAAAGTATTGCATACCATATTAAAATTAATGTATTTCACATCATATTTAGGTTTATTGTAATATTTAATGATGATTTAATAAATAACTTAAGTACTAAAGAATGAAATGACTGGTCCACTGTCAAAATACAGGCTCACCCAAGTATCTTTTTCTGACTAATGCGAGTGACTTAGTGAGGTGAGACCATGTTGGCGGTCTAGTCAGGAGTCATTTTTTTGGCGAGGACCCGATTCGGGATGACCAGATAAGCGGTTCAGAGTCTTTTGTATTGCGAGGTTTCTCCTTGGGATTGTCCTCAAGCGAAGGATTGTCTTGTGGCTATGTCACGATCCTGCATGATAAGCCGACACCAGAGGTTGCCCGACATGGTCTCTTCGAAGCTTAAGTCAGCGAAGGGGAAAAACTAGCAGTGTAAGCAATATGGTTGAGTTAGTGTATAAAAGTGTCCCTCCCTCAGCATAAACTGATGGGTTCCTTTTTATACCTGATCCCTGCATCTTCTTACTAGTTGGTCTATTATAAGATTAGGTGAATCGTATGATCCCTGAATCGTATGATCATTTTCTAATTTTGATAAGACAGATCAATTATTCATTCATACGGGTAAATCAAGACACGTTACCATAGATGTTGATATGTGGTGGTAGATGAGCTGCGATGGGACAAAATGATCCCTATCAAAAAAAAAAAAAAAAAAAAAAGTAGTAACAGCCATAGCTTTAGCCCGGAAGACTTGTTAAAGTATTGCATACGGTATTAAAATTGATGTATTTCACATCATCTTTATTTATTGTAATATTTAATTATGATTTTAAATAACTTAAGTACTAAAGAATGAATATATATATATATATATGTTGAATTATCATATTATTAATGATAAAGATGTGACCTCATAATGAACAGATTTTAATTTTGAATTGATTTTTAAAGCATCCTTTCTTTTACTGTAAATTGATTTGATTTGTAAAGCATCTTTTCTTTCACTATAAATCCATAACATAGTTCTCTCTCTCTCTCTCTCTCTCTCTCTCTCTCTCTCTTCAATCAAAATACTAATATTTCTATCAATAATGCATACTAAAATATAAAATAAAGAGTAACAGAGAGAAACAGAACTCTCTATAAATTATATTTCGATTTTATAACAAATCCCTCAAAGCATTTGTTGATGGATCAAGGTATTTGTCTTAATTAAAATCTAATTTCATGAAAATCAAAAAAATTAAAGATCATGATATTGATGTTATACCATGTTTTATCTGTGCTTACATTAATCGATTACATGTGTTGTGGAGATCAGATGTCGACGATGCTACGCGCAACGATCTCGACGATGAGTTCCTGAGGCAACGAGCAGATCGTCCTACCACTCGAATAGAAACTAACGATATACGTAGTGATTTGTATAAACCGATAAAGATACATATATTGTAATTGGGCTGAACTATAATTGGGCCGAATCCAAATTAGGTCAAATGGTTTTGGGCTAACTCCGATCAGATTTATGTTGTGATGGGCAAATTACGACTTGGATTCCGAACAGTTGATACAGTTGGGTTGGGTAATAGGGAATTCGAGGTGGACTGACTCTTGAAAAAGACCAGTAGGTAAGGAAAAGGAAAGGGACGACAAGGACGGACACAAGAGGAGTCCTCACGTGGATGCATATGGATCTGTCTCCCGTATCTTGAGGAAACCACCAACCAAAAGGTGTGTGTTTTCGCTATTGATACCCATTTCATCACTCCAACGCCACGATAAAAGATCGACGACTCCTTTTAGAAAAATCAATAGGTTGTCTCCGCACGTTTGTCGTTTTGGTAATTATAGCCAATAATAGAAAAGACGGAATTAGATATCACCATTGCTCGACATTTTGTTGCCCCGACCGACATCAGAACCCGTGACGTGAATCGGATTAGTCGCGAACCGTCCGTTCGTCCGTGGCGCCGACACGTCGCATCGCGTCCCGTCCCTTTTGTTCCCAACGAGTCAGGAACTCGTCCGACGCCAGCCCAGCTGCGATCTCTCTCCCCTCGCCGCACCCACCGCTGTAACCAGCTTGGCGTCGCCGAACTACTCCCTCTCCATCGGCCCCGCTCCAGCACGACCTACCGCCGGTCCCGTGGGATCTCCACCTGCGGGACCGGCCTCGCCTCGACCTCCACCCGCTTTTCCTCGTGTCGGGTAGAGCGCGGACGTCGTCGTCTCCGGCTCCTTGGCCGGCTGACCTGGCCCGGGCGTCCGGGACCGGCTTCTCGAGGACCTCGTCCAACACTACTTACATCGAGCGTCGCCGTCTGCCGGAAGGAGTGCCGGGCTGCGATTACATAACCTTTTTCGAAAATTAAATTCAGAGGAGGGGGCACAAAAGTAAATGACCATTTGCCAAACGTGTTTGTGGGACCCACCACATCACCGTAGTTTAAACAAGGGTTAGAGGATAAGGTTGAAGATGCATAATCTTTCCTTGCTGCTGCTGCTGCGACTCCTGTCAAACTCATATCCATGGAGAATGGTACCGGCGAAATTGTTTAGTATTAGGAATGCGATTGACATGATTAATTATTGGTATCTTTAGCGATCGAAGATGCGGTCCTACTCCTGCATCATATAAATCGATCGTACACCTTCCTAAGTGTTACTTTTACTTAGGCCCGGGGGGTCCTACGAAGGTACTCCCACCGACCCTTGCAGGTTTCAAAGGTCGTGTGATCGTTACTATTGTAATTCCAACTCCTACCATTGTGGTGCTCGAGACGGATAAGTCTCCTCCTATCTATCTACCTCCATTATTACTCCATGTTTCCTTCATAATTAAGAACGATTTAACTGCAATCCTCGGAAGCATCGAAATCATCTTTTTTACCAAATAACTCTGGCTCAAATCCATGCTATTATTTTATTACGATCTAATTTTTAGTATAATATCAATTTGGTAATAAAAGTCCGATTTTTATATGTTTATATTAAAGTGAAGGTATGCATTATGGTTTTCCATGTCTCGATTGGTTTAACTTGTTAATATCTAACCCTTGGCACTTAATTTACTTACCATTCTTTAACTATTTGATGCCCTACTTTTCCTTCTTTAAATTGTGACAGATTGGAATTACGATATGATATTTAGCAAACTGTTTTTGAGATTTAAAATTTTATTTTGAAAAAAAATACAAAATGTGTTTTTCTTAAATTTTATTGTAAATCATTTTTTTTTTCCTACAAATTTTATTTTTTTTATTTGAAAAGAAAAATATATTACATAAACAAAATAAGTACAAAATTTCCATGATATCATCCTCTTCCCTCTCTCTCCTCTCTTACTCAAATGAGAAGGTATTCTCTTGTGCATGACATTATCTCCAATGGAATTCTAGTGCTCTTGAGTCTCTATTTCATCAGACCTGTATCCCTTCAAGCATTATAACTATGAGCAATGCCTATAGATATTGAGTTAGAATGCAACATGGCACATTACATTTGTAGCATCCTACACTGTCACCAAGACCACTGTTTTGTTCATCGTTTGCATCTAGAATTTTGCCACTTATATTCTCTTTCAATGCACTCTTGCCCAAGCCCCCCTCGTGGGAATCTTTCCTGCAGCTCCTCAACTTCCAATTCCGATTCTTCCCAAGTTGGCTTCGAGGAGATTGGATTGAGGAAGGTGCATGCATCGCTAGATAAACCATCCCGTGACTAAGTTTCTTTCCTTCCTGCACTGCTACTGCTTTCCGATTCTCGTGGAACAATAGAAACGAGACAAAATATCGCAACCGCTCTGCCAGCCCTTTCTCTCTCTAAAGAAAGATCACGTTAGCTGTCAATGACTCTTATTGGATCCTGAGGGCAATGTTGAGGGCTCTAATATTAGCCTGGAGGAACAAGAAGTAAGTTCTCATCAAGAACTCTTCTGATAGACCCTTATGGTTGGGGCGACAGATGCTGCAAAGCTTCTTGCCTCTTGATGGCTAAGTCTATTGTACGGATCAAGTCTGATTCAAAGCAAGTTGTCAGTTTTGTTCAGGGGCTTACTCCTATTCCTTGATGTTTTAGATGTTTCTACCGTGACATCTTCTTTCTAGTTGATAAGATTCAGGTTATGAATCTAGTCACATCCCTAGAGCTTCTAATAGATCCCATAGTTTTTATTTGTTGAATGCTGAGAATGATCCGCAAGCAACTCTTTGTCAAGGTAATGCAGCTGTTTCCTTCGAGGAAAGAAAACCTTTATAGTAGATTAAAGAACCCAAGCAATACTATCAATTTGGAGATCCCATGCTATCTGATCTCAGGCTAAAAAGGCAACAGGCAACATGTCATGAAGTCTCTTTATTTGATGATCCATCAGATATGCCATTACATCTCAACAAAAGCAGTTGCTTTAGAATACTTCTTCCCAGGAAAAAAGAAGGAAAGATGAGCACAACACACACACACTAGGAAATTTGAAGAAGACCACATTGTCAAAGACAAATAATTCCAAGCAGGGAAGTCATTTGATGAAGAGAATACAGAAAACAGAAACAAGAGGGGAAAAGGATCAACTGCTCCCTCCCCAAAGCCAAGCATTAGACTTGCCTATAGAGTGAGTCACAATCTCCCCCTTAGCTTTTCTTCCACTTGGGCTTGCATCTCTCATCTCCCTTCTTGAGCTCATAACCCGACCTCTGAGTTCCTGTCCTCCTCCTCCTCCTCCTAATCTGCTGACAAGAACTCCTCAAGTCGTGAACAAGCTGCGCCATCGATCGATCTCCGGCGAAGGGGCGCAGGCAAGGCTTCACAGAAGCTGGGAGACCCCAAATCGAGCTGCTGCCACCGCTCGTAATATAACACAAAAAGAAAGAGTCAGCTCATAAAGAGGACAGAGATGAAGCGGATGTTGGTTTGGCCTGTCTCACGCAGATGATTCAGACATCCACTTCCCATTGGAAGAAAAAGGAGAAACGGCAGCGAAAAGGCGCATGCAATGAGGTTTACACCTCACCTTTTCCTATAACATATTGTCGACTGTGCCTATAGAGTATCCTGGGCGAGCCTTGTAAGTGGCGTTCGAGGATACAACGGTACCTGCTGCCTTTGGGATGTTCAACCTTTATCTACTACTGTAAGACATGGTGGTGGTGGTGGTCATCGACGTCTACTGCAGCGTTTTGCTTCGTAGCTTTCCCCCATTGTACATGTACAAGATGGTCCTCCTCCAACTCTAGCACATTTTATCTCGGAGCATGGAATCCGATGTGGGTTGTCATATGCTTTAAACAGCACTTGGATTGGGTTTCTGCACCAGCCACTCGTTCTCCATCCTTCACATCCTCCATCCATCTATCGTATCCTAAAGGTAAACAACAGTTATCAACTGCTGGAAAATGTTCCCCGGCCCCTCCATTTCCCCTCACAGAATCGACTACATGTTCTTAAAACTTCACTGCTCACCCAATCTCATCGTTGAAGAGGCAGAACACAACCTACACCATGTCAATCAGATTCTTCTTACATTGTCACTAACTCGAGCACTTACCATATTGCTGTGGCACTGACACCACATGCTGATGCTGCAGATTGTAAGCAAGGTTTTGGCTTCAACTCAGCCAAGCTGGATAATGTTGGTCAAGTCATGATCCACCCCATTAATTTAAGTCCTCAATGGTCTGCTCAGTACTTGTCTGCAAATTTATAAGTGGAGAAAGTGGAGTCTAACTAAGAGTGGTGACATATTGAAGATCCACAACCCCTCACAGCTATCTTTTGAGGGACCTACCCATCTTATAGAGCAAAGCAACTGCAGACTGGCTTCCATTCATGCCCCCACTCTCTGGGAGAAAGAACCGTCTCCCCCCTCTCCTAGTGAGTTTATCCCACCTCTTCAAAATCCCAAGGGAACTGTAAGCTGTCGAGTATATATTCGAGGATAGAGGTGGGGCTGTCTCAAACTAAAGCCACGGTCGGCAGGTCGATCCCTTTCTCGTCGAGCAGTTTTCCTTAGTTTAATGGGAGGACGTGAGAGGTTTATCGGGAGAAACATGTGGGGAATTAGTTGAAGTAGGTTAGCTTATTAGGTCATATGTCATTGTTATTACTCGTAGAACAGTTCTAGACTACTAAGAGGGTACTGATTCAGTGCAGGCATCCACCTATCCCTTTCTCTGTCTTCTCTTTCTTTTCTTCAAATGCCAATTTAACGGACTGATAGAGGCGATCCACTCTCTCTCTCTCTCTTTTTATTTTTCTTGAAGGAAGAAGTGCTATTCCTTGTCACGAGGAAGGGAAGGCAAGGCAACCTCTACCTTACTTTAATGTTCATCAATCCGAGTCAAAAAGAGTAGAATTGTTGTGATCTTTTTAGTGTTTATCCTTCTGAGTCAAAACAGTGGAGTTCTTGTCTGAGAAAGAAAGTGGAGGACAATATTGGAAGACATGCGTCATCCTTCGACAGGGAGGGGGAAATCTTGCAAGTTGCCGTAATAAAGAAGACAGCAGTCAAAAAAACTTGCAGTATGATGATAAAGAGGAAGTCAATTCTTAACTAAATCAATTGGCCTCAGAACCTCAGCTTGAAGATGGTGAAGGGGAGAACAAAGATTAGAAGCAACCTAAAGCTATTGTAAGGCTCTAAATCAAAGCTCGACACTGGTCTTTGGATGAAAGATTCAGACACCTTGGAAATTAAAATCTTTTAGATGGGCTTGGATCCAGTCTCTCACTTGAATCATGTTATTTAAATTCACATGTAATATATATGATGAAGCACAAAGATAGCAAGGATGGTTTCTTGCTCTTTTTGGGCTTAAGTTGAGAGCCAGTCCTGTTATTGTCAACTCTAAGTAGGATCATTTTAGTTGATAGATCTAAAATTGAAGGCTGGGCTAACTCTGGAGGGATTAAACCGAAATGTAGCAAGCCAGATTTATGAGGTTCATGAGAGGTGCTTTGAGCTAAATTGTTTCATAGCTATCAGAAAGTGAAATAAGAAATATCATTTTTTTCATTAAAAAAATTTAAGAATATAGAAAACACAAGATTTATGACATCATTTACTTACATCTATAAAAAAATATATATAATATTCTTATAATATGAAATGAAAATAAGCTACAAGTTTGACCCAAACCCCTTATACAACCACTTTGATATATAAAAATCCTAAGGAGTAACATAGACCCTACCTTAATTTTATGATGCCAATGGTATTTATAAAACAATCAAAAATCCTGATTTATAAGATTTTCTTCTTTCTATAGAATTTTTATCATATTTTAATTTCTTATCTTTCCAACAATTTGATTTCTGAAATTTACAAGTATTAATTAATAAACCCGGACATATCTTATTAGTGCCATCAGATGAATCCAACACCAATTCAAAACATCCTCTGTTTCGTAAAACACAAAATTCAGAATAAAACAAATATAACATTTATGTAGTCCGACATGCTATACTTAAATCTATCAAAAATCAAAAAAATTATTATACAAGAATAAACTATAAATTCTCTTGAATTAAACCATACTTAAATCTAAAAGCATTTATATATTTTTTAATAAACTCCAAAGAATTTCTCTACATTGTTGAAAATATCTTAAAAGTATTTGAAGCATTTTTTCTCCACTGTTACAGTATCTATCGAACAATCAAATCCTAATCTTTAGAATTTTCTCCTGGTCTTTTCATATTTAAATTCCTTTTTTATCATCTAACAATTTGATTCACCAAAAATTTAAAAATATTATTTGATTACATAATATCTAACTAGTATCCTTTCCATGGATGGATATAAGGGTGTGAATGGAGTAGAGAAGGGGCAAGGTGTGCTTCTTTATTTTCCTTATTTTCATCTTTTTCTTATCCCTCATCTCCATTTCATTTTCGATTTAGCCAGCAAAGGCAAGAATAAGGAATCCCCATCAAGGGTAGGGAACCCGTGAGTTCTTTATATTTTTCTAATTAATTTATTTTATTTTTTAAATATAAATTTATTATTAAAACTAATTAATAATATCATAATTTATAAGTAATAGCAATAATATTTATTAAGTTTACACATCATAATAATATTTAAATATAAATATATCTAAATATAAACATCACTAAAGATATTCAAATATGACCAAAACCAAATAAATACAAATATATCAAAATAAATCTATAAATTAATATTTTCTCCATTAATTTAGATTTTTGATGGATCTCATATATATATATATATATATATATGTATATATATATATATATACCCTTTGATAGTTCAAGTTTGTGATCAAATTATTTTTTATGCCATTGAACACAAAAGTATATTAGTTTACAAATTTATCATTTGATTTCATCATTAGCACTAGTGGACTTACAAATCTACCACCAGTGCTAAAGGTAAACTAAGATGCAATGATAGATATTAGAATTACTAAAATATTCCTACTAATATGTTCTAGTTTAAAGTGATTAATGGCATTTGTCTTTCACTATGCAATGACATCAAAATCATTACTTCGAGAGATTTCTTCAAATACTTATTTAACTTTGATTTGACACTATCATTAGTAGTGGTACCACTAACAAATAGATTAGTAGCGATACCACAGACAAATAAGGATGCCACTTATTTAACAAGTCAATATCTTCTTCCAAAAATAATATTTAATTTAAATAAATCAGAGAAGATCCTTCCTCTTATTTAGATTTGTATCGATACTCTCTCGCCAAATCATAACAAGTCCTTTCAATTCTACTAATTTCAATGGATAAATCAACACCATAAATCTTTAGAAAATAGTATTTTATCAATTTCATCTTAAATCTTGGATCCAAAATAATTACAACTCTCAGTATCTCATGAATTATATTCTAATATTTTTCAAAATTTTATATCATATTAGATGCTGTTGTTCTAATTTCATTATAACTACAACTACTCTACTTAAAAATTGCTAACTTTAGCCCACAAACCTTAGGAAATAAATGATTCATTGTGGAATACTTGTTTCCTGAATTTCTATAACATTATAAAATAATTTTAATTTATCATATGTTTCTTTTGCCACAATCTATTCTTCTTCTTCATGCACACATTTATATTGGTATTCTTATTATTTCAAATGAAAAAAATGCTTTAACGCATCGATCAAAACAGTGTTAAGTATCAAATAAGTTGAATTTTATCTAGTTTTGCAGTAAGTGCCAACTTCTTAGTGCTCAAACTCAACCTCAAACATTCAAGTTCTTTTTGGTGTTGGTATCCTCTCAATTGCCTTACTATCAAATTTACAATCCATTCTTAACTATCAAATTTAATAAGTGGGCACAACAATGCATATGAAATAATTCTCCACCCAACATAATACAATTACAAGAAAATTTATCTAACAAAATAGAAATCATAGTGTCACTGGTAGAACAATTATCTATAGTTATAGTAGACAACTTATGGTCAATGTTCCAATCTAACAAACACTCTATCAATAATGAAGAAATATAAGGACATAACACAGACATAAACCTAAATGATATGTGTAAAGCTATTATAAAATTTAAAAATATAAATTATAATTGAATCATATAGAAATTAATATCTCAAAATTTGACTTCATAGTTTACAAGAGTTATCTATGAAGTGAGTAGTGGCAATCATGTATTCCTCTTCTTTTGGGTAGTAGAAGTTTATATGTCTATAGTAATAATAATTTTACTATATAATTATATAAATATAAGTTCGCGTGTCTATAGTAAAAACAATTTTATTGCGATAATGTTTAACCAATTTCATTGTTTGTCTTCTAAATTTCATAGATTTTCATAATATCACTTTTAATTGTATTTTGAGATATAACATTAAATAATGATCGGAGAACTTTAGATTACCTTTTAAAATTATTATGTTCGCCCATATGGTATTTGTGCAATATAATTATATATTTTCATAAATGTTCATATGTTTATGTAAATGTTCATATTCATGCAAAATAATCATATAATCATTCATCTCTCTCTCTCTTCGTAACTTCTAGGTCAAAATTATATATGCCTAGAGTGCTTTTACCCTCGTTTGTTTTAAAAAAAATAATACTGATTGCTCAATGTCCTTATGTTTTCATAAATAATATTTTTTGAAATGATCATGTAAATATTTGTCTCATTCTTACTTATACCAAATAACTTTTAGTTATAATAATTACCAACCCTCTCAATTTTAATCTTATTAAAGAGATACCATTCCATAGAATTATGTTTTCTTTTCAAGGTTACCTCCTTCTTATCACATATAGTTAAATCTACCTGAGGTCAAGATCATTATGGACACTTGCTTTGTTAAAGTTGGAGTCATGATATAATCATTTTTTGATTGATTAGTTGACATAATATACCTACAATCAGACCTTCAACCTACCAATCAAAATTATAAATTATAGACCTTCACTCGTTTTATTATTGTTTTATATTTTTATTATTCAAAGCACACAATTAGTTACCAAATGAGAGAGATATTGTACTAAAGAGATAAGATAAGCGACAATGATGTGTGGGTGTTATGCCTTTGGGTGGGTGTCACACAAGGAGCATGTCAAGTGGGGATGGGGAGAGGTGTCGTCACTTTAGTCAGTACTTTAGTCAGTGTAACTCTCTCTCATGAGGATTTTAGGAAATAAAAATTATAAAATAAGATAGAAAAGATAAATCTCAATTAGGATTTTAATTTTTTAATAAAATATTTTATTATTTTATTTATAAAATTTTTAAATGTACTAAAAAATTAAATATAAGATTGATTTAGTGATTAATGTTGAGTTCAATTATGAAATATGTATATTTTTATTTATATTATTATTAATAAAATATTATATATATAATAATAAAAACAGGATAGGGATGGGTAAGAGGATAGAGTAGGAATGGTCACCCAATAACTATATGAGTAATATAAAATATCTTATAATTTTTTAATCCATGCCAATCTATTTTCTTATATACGCTTCATTAGAGACGGATTCCCATAGGTATCCCTAACTCCGACGCAATCCAAGAATAAACACATTTATATTTCGTAAATTTAGTTGCAGTACCAATCAATCATTCACCGTCCAAAATTCTTTTAGTTGCTTTCTTCATGCTCTGCCATTGCCACTTGTGCACTTGATCAAGCCGCCGGTCTCCCCAACTTGGTAGCACATATCATTACCAGAGGAGGACGGCATGCTCATGTATAGCCGCCTTGTGATTCACATGATAGCCTTGACGTACAAGAAGAGAGAGAGAGAGAGAGAGAGAGAGAGAGAGAGATCAACACACGTTTATACGGGAAGCATCGTATGCTCCGCATAACATAATATAATGGATGTTTGTGTAAGGAATGGTAAGTTTCCGAGAATATAATTGGATAGATAGTATCTTAAATTATCTTACGGTGTACACGTAACCAAATCTTTGTTTTGGTCAACAAATTAATGAGAAGTCACAGTCAAACCCAAACTTTCTCTTACTTGTTGACGTGCACTTCAAACGCCACAATCCAATCACAAAGCTTCGCTCGTATGATGCTCCGCGAGACAAACGTGGAGACCGATATTGCGTCTATCCTTTCCAGCCTTATCGTCGGATCCAACGGATAGGATCTCACCCGAGGGGAGGAACCAGTTTATTTGCAATAATGCGCCGGTAAATCTGCAAGTTCGCTCGCGTTTACGACACCGGCGAAGTCCCCTACGAAACCCTCCCGCAGAAAAAGGGGAAGCGAAGTGGACATCTTTGGACGCGGCCCCGAATACTTGAGTAAAGATTCCACTTTGATGCCTGATCGATGGAGACCATGACGTTCCTGGTGCTGAATTGGGTGCAAGATTGATCTATTTAATCGCGGAGCGGGTGAATTGGGGCTCCTTGTTTTGGGGGATTGTGGAGGCGTAGAAGGCGCAGATGGAGGGGTGGAAGTGGTTTTGCTGGAGCCGAGGAGTCTCCTACGATGCCGTTCCTCCCGAGCCGGAGTCCTTCTCCCTCCCTTCTCCCATTCCTGAATGGCCTCAAAGTGAGATTTTGTCTTTTAACATCGCCAAGTTGAGAAAAAATTGACTGAAACCAAATTCGTCTCCTTGGCATCGTGAAATCGTATTTTTGTTGATCTTTCTTCTGCTTTCCTTATTTGTTATTTCTTGTGCTCTCAAGAAATTCCAAACAAGAGGGTTGACTTTTTTTTTGCCATAGCTTCATGTTGGCTTTCTATAATTTCTTTCCCATATGTTTTCTTATCTTCAGCAATAATTATGTGAAGTGTTGCTTCTTTCTTGTTTTAGTTTCTAATTATGTGATCCATCTGTTTATACAATTTTCCATCTTTGTTTTGCTAAAGATTGGAAGAATTCCACATAGAAGTAGCAGAAGTGTCATCCCAGCTTGATTCATTGCAGGTTCTTTCTTGATATCCGTCAACTGCTACTCGCACTTACTGTGGAACCAACTTTCCAAAATGCATATGTAGTTCTTACACTGGATTTTTGCAGTTGCAGCAGTGACTTGTAGCAATATCTTTTCTTCATGGGCACTGTTTCATGTTTTCTAGGTTTTTGAGTTTAAATAGATATCTTTGCATCTGCTGGCAAATGTCTTGTGTATATTCTAATGCCTGGTTTTTCAGGTGGGGCGTTTGCTAAAGGAAGAATATGCATCGGTGAATTGGAAGTTGTACAGATTACCAATTTTAAGCGCATTTGGAGTTGTTTCTCTTCAAAGGAGAAGAGTAAAGGAGCTGTTTTCTATGAACCCTTAGAAATACCAAATGGATTTTTCAGCTTTGGCCATTATGGTCAGCGGTGTGACCAACCTTTGCATGGTTTTGTGCTTGTGGCGAGAGAAAACGCTGAATTCCAATCGGTGGCTGATCTGCCAGCTCTTCAGAAGCCACTGGATTATACACTCGTCTGGAGTTCAGATGACTTCACAGAGGAGTCCCATGTTGGTTGTGGTTACTTCTGGCTTCCAATACCACCTGAGGGGTATCGAGCATTGGGCTACTTGGTTACCAGTGGACCCAACAAGCCCTCGGTTGTAGAAGTTAGATGCGTTCGAAGCGATCTTACAGACACATGCGAAGCCCATGAATTGATGATCGATATGGAAACGATATTTCCAGAGCTGCCCTGCCAAGTTTGGAAGATGAGACCTTCTTCTCGGGGACTGTTGGGGACAGGTGTTTCTGTTGGGACCTTCTGTTGCAATACGGACTCGACCTCTGAAGATATGTTGAACATCTGTTGTTTGAAGAACTGTGATTCTTCTCTGAAAGCAATGCCAAATTTAGAGCAGATGCATGCTCTCATCAAGCATTATGGTCCTACTCTTATGTTCCATCCAAAAGAAGTTTATTTGCCTTCATCAGTTTCATGGTTTTTCGAGAAGGGTGCTATTTTGTATAAGAAAGGTATCAAACTTGGAGAGACTATAGATTCAGAAGGTTCAAACCTCCCATTGGGGGGAACAAATGATGGGGAATACTGGATAGATCTTCCTGATGATGATAGGAATAATCTCGTTAAGAGAGGGAACATAGGCAGTGCAGAACTTTACGTTCATGTGAAACCAGCCCTGGGAGGCACGTTCACGGACATTGCCATGTGGATCTTCTGCCCCTTCAACGGCCCTGCTACGATCAAGATCGGGATGGCAAACTTTCCGCTGAACAAAATCGGGCAGCATGTAGGCGATTGGGAGCATTACACACTTCGGATAAGCAACTTCACCGGTGAACTCTGGAGTATATATTTCTCTCAGCACAGTGGAGGGGAGTGGATCGATGCTTGTGGCTTGGAGTTCTTTGGAGGTAACAGGGCAGTCGTTTATTCCTCAAAGAGCGGCCATGCAAGCTTCCCGCACCCTGGAAACTACCTCCAAGGTTCGGAAAAGCTGGGAATTGGTGTGAGGAATGACACTGCTCGAAGCTCACTTTTCGTCGACTCAAGTACCAGATATCAGATTGTTGCAGCAGAGCATCTAGGCGATGCTGTGGAACAACCATTTTGGTTGCAGTACATGCGAGAATGGGGTCCAACTATAACATATAACTCCAGGTCGGAATTAGATAAGATTCTTAGCTTCTTACCGTTCACTCTCAGGTTCACGGTGGAGAATATATTTGACAGTCTTCCCATGGAGTTATATGGCGAGGAAGGACCCACAGGACCCAAGGAGAAGAACAACTGGGTAGGTGACGAAAGGTGGTAAGAGTCCTATTCAGGAGCAGTATTGCGGCATTCTCATCTTTCAGGAACATGCAGAAACTTTCAAGTACTTAATTCAGCACAGTTGCATTGATCTGGCCACTTATGATCTCGAAAGTTGGGTAAAAGAACCATTTTGGATACACCAAATGAGAGTTGTGATCCAACCATTATGATAAAATTGCATCATTTAAGGAATGTAATCAGCTTAAGTTGTCATTCGGTATCACATAGTATTTCCACACCTGCAACTGTATGGTAATCGGAGCAATTTCAAGTTCCTCTTGTGGAGGTTATTTTCTTGTTCCTGTATTCCAGATCAGCACATTTGGGTATGTCTGGTTATCCAAGTTTAATTGCATGTATTATAAGACGATTTCCAACCACATGGTAATATATTGATGAATGGTGAAGCAGTTCTATTTCTTTGTGATTCTGCAGCATCATGTTCTTATCCAACATGTTAAAGTAATTGATCTGGATTTTTATTCATTATATGTGTATTTTATTTATTAGTCTTTGCATCCAATACTCTGTTTATTGGTATTTTTTATTACTAAAAAGAACCGGATGCACAGTATGATCAACTTTAGTTCACAGAATCAGTAGGCAGTGTCGGGTGATTTGAAGGAGTCAAGTCAGTGCGACGCTGATGAGACTCCATCGGTGTCCAACTCGAGAGGCTTTGGGTCGTGTTCGGTACACTACAAATGAATAGATTGCCACCATCGATAGCTCCACACAGGCATCTCGGAGACGACAATGAAGGCCACCGGAGGGGCATGGGAACCGTTCCCTTCACGTGAGCTACCAAATCATGTACTCTCATTTCTTCGACATCCTTCGATTTCCGACAAGTGTCGTGTTACTCATCGCTCAATTCGCTTCTCGTAGACCAATTGGCCGACTAAAATTTGAAGAAACGGACACGGCTTCCATTCGTCTCGAGTGCTCTGCTGTTCTTCGGAGTCTCTCTCTCTCTCTCTCTCTCTCTCCGCCATGAGGGTTTACATCCATCTCTGAGACTAGCTGAGACTCACTTCCACTGATTCCAGTGACTGCTCACATTCGCAGCCGCCATACTCATGGTTTGCCTCACGAGACCTTCCTTTACGTCAATCTTCCACAGAACCACCCCCTGTCTACCATCTCTCCACCGCCGCCACCACCACCAGCTTCCCATCCTCAGTTCCAACCAGGAACCAAGAAGAAGAGCTGCTCGCTTTGACAGGAAAGCCCATGCCATAAGACCCCTGGCGAGCCCCGCACTCGGGTCTTCTTCGCTCGCCAAGGAGGGTACAGGCGGCAACGGCACTGATGCTGGAAGGCAGGTGTTGGCCTTGTGTGGGTTCGGGTACTGGGTGCAGGGTTTCAGGTGCTTCCCATGGCTGGCCCTCAACTTCCACCTGGTTCATGCCCTCAACCTTAGCCCTGCCACACTTCAGCTGGTTCAGAACACCGCCAACCTCCCCATGGTGGCCAAGCCTCTCTTGGGTGTCATCTCTGATGCCGTCTACATCGGGGACGCTCACAGGCTCCCGTATATGTCCATTGGAGGTCAGTTCTCTTTGGTCTCTTTCTTGATCTGTCTCTCTCTCTCTCTCTCTCTCTGCTGCTTTATTTTTTGTTTTGGCTTTCTACATCTGGTTTCGTACCTGCACTCGTAAGAGTGTCATTAGGCATAGGAATTAGCTTCCTATTTGAAGCTTGTATCCTTTCTCACGTGGTGATCATAACCCGACAATGTGCATCTCTTTTGCAGTCATATTGCAGCTTGTGTCATGGGGAACACTGGCATCGATCCCTGTCACAGGAGAAACATTTCCAACCCAAGTCACATGCATTCTACTGAGCAATCTCGGGGCATCCTTCGCGGAAGTTGCTACAGATGCTCTGGTTGCTGAAATCAGTAGAACACGGAGAGCAGGTGAACTCCAGTCTTACGCATTCATCGCTTTGGCAGCTGGAGCAATGTTAGGCAATTTGTCCGGTGGATTCCTCTTGCTGAAAACCCAAGAGCCGCAGATCCTGTTCGTCATCTTTGCACTCCTCCTCTCTGCCCAGCTTGCGCTTTCCTTGACCACGAAAGAGACGTCCATCTATCTGCCCCATATCTCGAATCATCGCCTAATCCCCAGCTCCCTATCTGAAAACCTCAGCAAGCAGTTCTCCAATCTCATCACAGCGATCAACGAGGAAAGCATCTCCTATCCTCTTTCGTGGATCGTAGCTTCGGTTGCCGTCGTTCCCATTCTCTCAGGCTCCATGTTTTGCTTCCAGACACAGTGCCTAAAGATCGATCCTGCCGTCATCGGTCTGTCGAAAGTTATCGGCCAGCTGGTGGTTCTCTCGGCGGCCTTCTTCTACGAGCGATACTCGAAGAGATTGCCGATGAGGAGACTGATATGTGGAGCACAGATCCTCTATGCTCTTTCCCTGCTCTCCGACCTGATATTGGTGAAACAAGTCAACATCAAGTTGGGCATATCGAATGAAGCTTTTGTGCTGTGCTTGTCGGCGTTAGCGGAGGCCATCGCGCAGTTTAAGATGCTGCCCTTCTCGGTTATGTTTTCGCGGCTATGCCCGTCGGGTTGCGAAGGTTCTCTCTTAGCATTCTTCGCTTCGGCGATGTGCTTGTCGTCTATACTGGGTGGAATTTTTGGCGTCGGGCTTGCCTCCTTGATTGGGGTGACCTCGGGGGATTACTCGAGCATGGCGACAGGAATTCTGGTGCAGTTCGTGGCTGGTTTAGTTCCCCTTGGGTGGACATCCTGCATACCTATCACGAGGAATCTGGAGGAGATGAGGATGGCCAAAAGGAGAAGAAGAGCTTGATATAGTAGATTGAAACTGTGATTCTGCATGCCTTTTGTCGTTTGACTTTTTCAGTAATTATTTAGGGATAATTGTTGAATACAGATCTTGGAAAAAGCAAAAGTTCAATAAGCCCCGTCGGAATTAAGACAAATGGATTCTAAGATATGCATCACATCATCACTCATTATCTAGCATATATTGTGCTCATACCGCCATTTAGTCTACAAAACACTGACATTGTTTTGGAAAAAGTTCTGTTAAAGCCAAAAATGTTCTTCTAGGGAATGACAAGATTGGATAAAAACATTTGAATAAGAAATTTAGATGCTCATCATAAGAACCGGACCGAAACAAATCATAGTATGGAAGATGAAGCCTTAATGCAGAAGATGAATTAGTAGCCGCCCTTGAGGTCATTGACGACGTCATAAGGAATAGGAGTGACGGTCTCGAGAGTGGCACCTTCCACCATGAAGCCAGGCTTGGGACCTTCTGGCTGCCGTTTGGTGCTGATGACTTCGCCTCGTGCCTTTGCCTCTGCTTTCAGTTGGTCGTTCTTCTTCACCCTAGCACGGAAATCTTCTTCGCACCTGGATGGTTGCACATGCTCAACTCGGACATGAATCCTTTTCTTGATGATCCGATTGCCAACCTGAGGAACAAAAAAGCAACAATAATCCATCTGAGTTGTGATCTTTCTTCTTTTCTCCTTGTGTGATCCTAATGTCTAGTATCTACCCGTGTAGGGTGTGAAATGGTACCACCCTCCATTGCAAAACGAGCTGTAGTACAAATGACTTCAGTGAAAATAAGAACTGCTAAAACACAACAGCCATGTACTTGCTCTTGAGGAATTTGATTTGAAAAACCCAAGGGAGACTCGTTTCTTATCAGATGTTGAACATCTTCATTTTTTTTGTCATGTTTGCTTTGTGCATGCACCAAGAGCAGCTGACATCTAATTATCCCCCAAGGCGAAAGGAGTGTATCTAGCGCACGAGACTCCCATCAATACGAGATCTAGGGAGGGTTGATATACGTAGTCTTACCTTTAAATATTTAAAGAAGCTGTTTTAATGACTCGAACCCTAGTCTCCTAGATCACAGAAGAGCAACCTTACTATTGTACCAAGGCTCGCCCTCAATTATCCCCCAAGAGCTGCTCCATCTAAAACAAAATAGCTCAATGGATAAAGCCACTATTCATTACATGGTTTGGGCATGATGAGATGTGCAGGAACTAACCAACCTTACATGTAAATAGGCTTGCCATGATTCAAACACATCTAAGAAGCAAGGACACAAACACGATATGACACGGACATATCATGTTTTAAAAAATTAGGACATGGACACACACACACACACATATATAATTCAATTAATATAAGTTTTATAATATTGTACTTAAAACTTTAAAGACTCAAAAATGCAGACAAATAAATATCATCATATAGGTTAAAACAATTAAAATCATCTAAATTTAATTATCCAAAATAAAGGTTAAGTTCATCAAATAATATCTAACAATTTCTTCATATAATTGATATGTATTTTCTTACAACGATCTCCAAATTTCTTTTCTTATCAAGCATATGGCCCTCACATGAGGGCCACGAAAGCACAACGTCGCACGCGAGTGTCCGACATGTGTCTGTGTGTCTAAGACGTGTGGGAGACGAACACACCCACCAAAAGAACGTGTCTGTGCTTCTTCGAAACAAATGACAGTCAATTGGCACCAACGAGGCCTAACCACTTGTTTGCCGCAAACTAAGCTTACTAACATGGTGTGATCATCATCATCTAAAAATACAGGTTTGGTCCCTAAAAAAAAGACTACCAAAAGCTAAATGTACAAGCATATCCATGTCCTAGTGAGAGCATTCCAAGAGTGCATATATTCCAAGTTAAAACAAATGAACGTAGATCTGAGTACAGAAGTAACAACTGATAACTGACTTAGTTAACAATGCATGGATGAAGCTAGAATGATAAGTCTTTCCAACTGGGCAGAATTGAGGCAGCCTACTATAAAGGGAAGACCTCTGGTGCAGACACGAAAGGGAATACATGAAGAGGAGACTCACACAATTAAAAGAGATAAAGAAACTTTTCACAGCTCATAATGATGTGGTCTAGCCCAATCCATAGATCGACATTAAATGGAATCCCATTAGAAATCAGTTTTTGTCACCAACCTTACATCATATGTTGATTGAATTGACCTCATCTCACACACTTAAACCTTGGCATAATGACTATACCATCCACTATCACCTTGACCTGACTTAAAATTTATCTTTATAAACCACAATAATATTCATAACCATGTCAAGTTCCTCCAAAAGTTTTTGATCCAAGAAACTTCATTCTTTTGTTATACATATACACACAAACAAGAATATCAAAATTAATGAAAGCTCCACATCACATATTTGATACAGAACACATTGCTTTCCGGTAACCAACATCAGAAACAATCTGGTCTAATTCCATTCTTGGATCAATGTTTTAGCCATCTCTGTACATGACCAGCACAAAAGATATTTTTAAACCATGGAGGATGAGCTTTAAAAATGCATTTTTTTTTCAGTTCATGATCTCTCGAGGGCAATTTTTCTTCTTTCTTTCCGGTTTATGACCTCTGGAGGATAATTCGGGACACGTTATACCACAGCAATTCTTTCTGGGGCTTAGCAATACGCCACAAGGATTTGCATCACAGCAACGTAACCAAATGACTTCAAAGATTAACAATCATAACACAAAATACAAACAAAATGATGTAGTCTAAAAGTTATTTGATCATTCAGCAGCTTAATCCTACGAATCAAAACATGGTAACAACTACGACCGGCAAAAGGGAGGGGCAATGCAAAGGAAGGGGATGGAGCTCGGACCTGCTTGTTGATCTCGACTCCGATGGCGCGCTTGGTGACGTTCCATACCCTGCCGGTGCGGCCGTGGTAGAACTTGTGGGGCATTCCCTTGTGGACGGCGCCGTTCACCTTGATGTCGACGTAGTCGCCGATCCTGTAGGTGCGCAGGTACGTCGTGAGGGGAATGTACCCCTTCTTCCGAAAGGGCCGGGAGAAGAGGTCCCTCGTTCTCGACCTCAGTCCGTGACCGGCTGGCATCTTGCCTCCTCTTTCCTCTTCTCTCGCTCCGCCTCCACCTGCCGCAACTCTCTAGGGTTTCCATGGAAGGCCATTATTTATAGTTGTCAAAGCGGATCCAACAATGTAATGATCCGGCCCATTTTTATGATTGCAATGAACCGGCCCTACTTCTTGCGCCCCATGAACATTAAGTATGCGTTGGATGTTGAGGCCGCGCATGCTGAGGCCTTTCTATAACCCGCCTACTAAAAGCACAGCGCTGTTATTCCACCACCACCTGTTCGAGAGAAGTCCCGAGAGAGATGAAGGGACGGGCGCCGACGCTGAAGAGCTTACAAGTGGTACGAGAGACGTGGATGGAGGATGACGACGACTCCAACTCATCGACGGCAACCTCGAGAGCTCTTGTTTTGGTTTCTCTTGTGAGAATTTGACTTCCCTTCATGGGTTTGTTAATCAGGTCAGATTCAAGCCGACTGTTTTGCTCAGCTGCAACAACAAGCAGTAATATTGTGCAAGCAGGTACATGGCATGCCGAGGTACAAGCCCAGTTGTTGTGGATCTCACAAGGCCCGACGTGTGTGGCCTAGCGTTACAGCCCCAGGTACGTCACACGCTTTGCTCCAACTGCGCCACGACACGTTTCAGACAAAATGCCTACACCCTGTTCTGATTGTATCAGGCCACATGTTCGACAAAAGTCCTACACCGACAAGGCGACAAAAACATGTCTCGGATTCCCTCCCCATCCATGCCCTGCGGCCCGACCGGTGGCGACTCCCAGTCTTTGTCGGACCTCCCTGTAAACAAGGATGGGTGAAATGCTGCAGCAGCATCAGCTATCCCCGTCCAACCCATTCCCACATCCACTGCCTCACATGTAAAGAAACCAGAAGGCAGCAGCAGCAGAGTATGTTGGTCCAGTGAACTCGCAGCTGATCTCTAGTATTCAATACGATAACTGTGGGTGGCTTCTTCCCAAGCTGGTGCTCGTAAATGAGAGCCCCGAAGTAGGTGTGGTGTGACATAATGAAACAGCAGCAGCTTGAGTGTAGTGGATGATGGCTAAACCAACCACTGAGCTGCACCCCTAATTCAAGGTGCAGAGTTAGGTGTGAAGGTGTTTGAAAATGCAACAGCTCCTTATGAGCTTATGACACAGAGGACGAAGAGCATTAATTCTTCAGTTCAGCAGCATGCGTCGATAGGTCGAAAGTCTTCGCAGGCAGACTCGCAAACCACGCTAAATCAAACAACTGCGGTTTGGCATTTAGTGTGTAGTGGAATTTATCCCCTATTCAGTGTAGGATCATGGTAACTTGGTTAGATCTGAGATGTCCGAGTGATGAATTAGATGAGGACCACATTATGAGTACGGTCCAATAATATGCCTGTTGCATAATAATGCATACGTGTAGTACGCTAAGATCTTTAGGCTTCACGTTCCACGTCACTCCATGGATGAATGACCCCCACCATGGCCATCGCTTTAGGATGTCACTCTCTCGCTCGTGTCCTTGGTGCCCATGCCCGGCTAGAGGAGGAAGACTAAGCGCGGCCGACCGCTATGTCGACATCTCGGCAAATATGCGGCCTTATCGGTCAAACGGTCAAATAGGATTCGTCCAACCAACTCCCGTTTTGCTGCCACGTCAGGAGAGCCCGTGGTCAACCTTTTGACCCGATGGGAACATGACGCGTAGTCGCCGCCGATATCCGCGACAAGGAAGGGAGAAATTGGGCATCTTCTCTCGACCCGATTTCCTGGTCTCGGCTGAGTTGGCTCAGAGAGCCAACTCGATGGTCTTCCATGATCGTGAAGAAACGTAGTTTATTCGCTGTCATCGATGGTCCTCAACTGCGCCGACGAGCATTGGATGCACTCAGTATTGATGGGTCGACTCACTGGATTAGACAATACTCCCATCTATATCTCGCGTCACATACACTTCTTGATACAAATATCGCCTCTCCCTTCATAGTTTTCCTCTCAGTAACGCCGCCCACCACTCATCATTTATAGATAAGAGCAACTCCGGGAACTGCCCTCGCCTCTTCAATTCAGTCGCCTTCTCCCGCTTTCTCCTGTGCACTCGTCGTCTCGGATGGCCACAAGCTCAAAGCAAGGCGCAATGGAGAGCGATGCACGCAGCCCCGCCATCACCGTCGAGCGGAACCCTCCCGAGTCGCGATTGCAACAGCTTGGTATCAAGTCCTGGCCCAAGTAAACCAGGCGATCCCTTCTGCTCTTTCCTTCTCTTGGTTCTCCATACCTCATAATGCCTATTTCCACTAGAGTTGCACCAGGATTCTTCTGCCATGTCGTGATCTTGTGGAGGCTACCTTTGTTCATTCCTTTTTCTCTTTCTGCTTGTTTTCGTTGCCGTTCAGGTGGGCATGTCCTCCAGGAAAGTTTCCTCTCAAGTTTGATGCACAGGAGACGTGCTATCTCCTCAAGGGGAAGGTAAAGGCCTACGTGAAGGGTTCTTCTGAGTTCGTGGAGTTTGGCGCAGGAGACCTTGTCATCTTCCCCGAGGGACTCAGCTGCACATGGGATGTCTCAGCCGCTGTGGATAAGCACTACAAATTTGATTCATCTTCTTAACACTCTAATATCTTCTCCATCTTATTGTTCTTCTTCTTTGCCCCTTCTTTTTCTGTAACATTAGACTTCTTCTTTACGTGTATTATGTGGTCGCAGATGATATTTGCTTAAGAGGAGTTTAGGTTCGTTAAATATTCGAGTCAAAGACCCTCATCTCAGTCAATGCATGCAAGGCCCTTTCGAAGTCATCCTAGTTCTGTCTTTGAATGAGCTTTTAATGCTCCCTTGACCACCACTGCTTTCGTGACAGAGGGAAAACTCCTACGCATACAATCTTACATACAAGGTATAAACGGACTATGATGTTTGACGAACACTACTATTTTTGTTGTGTCTTGTTTATGCGTTTATCCATGATCTGTCAAAGTCTCCAGTGTTTTGCTGTACGTCGGCAAATGGTTTGAGATTCGAATGGAGGTGGTGTATCACTTAAGCTAATAGGGATGTGAAGGAAGAAAATATTCTAGGGTTTATAGTTCTAGGAAAGAGTTGCCAAGTAGTAGTCTTTTGCTTTGATGTCTTTGTTGTGTGCCTGTGGATCCTGCACCATGCTGGGTCGCTGGACCTGTTGTGTTCTCTTGGATGCATGCCTGAGGTTTACAGACTTCGGTGTCATGCTTTTGTCCTTAAGACTGCAATGGACCTTTCTGATTTTTTTCCTAGTAATCAGCCATAGTTTCTCCATTGGCTGCCTAATAGTTGAACCGCAATTTTTTCCATGTGAAACAGTGATCATGCTACCAACGATGTCTTCTAGAAGACATTTGATTCAGATGCTTTCCAAGATGCTGATTTATGAGAAGTAAGATGTAGAGAGAAAACGAAGGATATTGTGCTGTAGATACATGACAGATTAAGATGATCGATTCAGAAGTAAAACTTTCTTTGCAAAGAGTAATTTGATGGATACTAATTCTAAGATCTTGAAAGATAATTGAGCCAAAATATGAAGGAAGAGCAGAAGAAAATGAGAACCAGAACCCTTAAACGCCAAGTGTGGACAGATTTTAAAGTAGCTTTGCAAAAGTTTGCTTGGAAATCTAAGATTTTGTTATGATAATCCATTGATGATGTTTTAAGCACACAAGATCTCTTAAGTCAACCAAATCGTATCCTTTTAATTATGGTTTGTATGAGTTGTTACACCGAAGGTTACAGCAATCTACAACTGCATGTGAATGTAAGGTTGAACATTCTACCAGTGTGCTTCATCTTAATTCTATGATCATTCTAGTTCTGTTTTGATTGGTTCTCCATCTGTATGACAGAAGTGCTATAATTTCCTTCAATGAGTGTGTTTGAAGTTCATCCTTGTTGAATTATTAGTCTTCATACATCTTAGTTGTAAGCCTCTTTGCCATTCGTGAACTATTTCATGATGTTAATTGGTTTGACTAGCATTGGTAAAGCACGCTTGCCAGCAATATATCCAACTTGAATCCAAGTCAAAATTTTGGGGATGAATTCTAGCTGTAGTGTCTTTTTATATTTGCAGCAATTACGAGAATTATGCTGCTAAGGGCCGGGCATGCCTTCCGTGCATGAAGCCCTACACCACAGTGTTTGACATAAATCTAATACAAGCAAGGAAGTGATGCTAAGAGGTACGTGTGTTCCTCAAGTTCCTGCAGAATCAATGTGTTCCAGACAATGTGTTGGAGAAGTTATGAATCAAAAGATTCAAATCATTTTCCTTAATGCATGAGAATGGTTAACGAAGTCCCGCAATTACATGTGACCAACTTACATCAAAAGATCCCAATGACCCAACATGGTTAACGAAGCGTGCAAGAAAGCTGTAGTGTCAACTCACACACACAACCTGAGAAGAGAATGGGTATATCTGAGAAAGATTCTCAATGATAGAGGCCACTGCAAACTTTTGATGAGACTCAAAGGGCAATGAGTCATGCAAGTATGCAATGCTTGGGAGGTGGAGAGTGGGATAGAGAAAGAAAGTGGAGGTCAGCTCAGAGTGCAACATGAGAAAGATAGATCGATGGAGCTGGACTTGAAATCTGACCTTTATCGCATGTCTCACCAGTAGTCAAAGCCTGATCAGCTATACCTTCTGATTGCGGATGCTCATCACGCTGCCAGCCGTCCCCAGTAAGAAACAGACACCAGTCAGATAAGAATGTACTCCACAGTCAAACCATGATCGTCCCAAATGCAAAAGTCAATAGTCGTCCAGAATTTTATGCCGCCTGGTGATGATAAGTCAAACTAAGCAGGCGTTTGGAAGTGGTCTGCGCATTGGGAGCAGTAATGTTCACCAGTCGTCCCATTACCGCTTTGGAAAATTGATCTTCTCACACCATTCATTGTAAAGTGGCAGATCCCAAAGAGCTTCGTTGAAGTCAGTTTTGCGTTTCAGAAAATGGATATATGACTTACAGGCTTCATCCAACCCAGTTTGCGCTTGAGCCTGATGTTGTGCAGGGGAATGGAGTGTGATGAGGACTTCATCACCCTCACTTGTAACGAGTCATTCCATGAACCCCATTGCAGTGCTTCCAGGTCTGTAGTGAACGCAGAAGCCTGGTTATATAACTCGACCAAATTGCTGGTGAATGCTTCAATGGGAATCATGAGTCCAAGAATTGTGTCATTTCGATTTGTAGTTATCATTCTTCAATGGGGGATGGACGAACGGAAGCAGTAAAGGCAATCATCATATTACTACTCCCAAGTCCTCTACCAGTGAGGCAGCGATTTAATCGCCTCGTTGAAACCGAAGCGATCAAGACCGAGGAGGCAACGAGGCATTGCAAAGGACCGAAATGCTACCTTGAGTCGAGATTCTGTAATCGATGTACCTGATCAATTGGAACTATTGGGGGTAATTACATATTATCTCATCTATGATTAATATCTCGATTTTTATATTTTAAAAAAAAATTGAGATCCTAACACTTATAAAAGTGAAATATTTAATCTAAATTCTTCTTATATCATTAATTTCATTAACAGAAAAAAATAAAAAAATTTATTTTTTTAATTATTAATTTTATAAAAAAAAATTCTTCAACATCAAAGGTTTTCACGTAAACTTCTTTACTTTCCTCCCTTCTGGTTCCCTCCCTACGATACGCTGCGGATGGTAGACCAGTAGCAATGTTAGTAGCGCGTGAGATCGGTGGCATTCTAAAGGAGATCCGGGCATCACCTCCACTTTCCTCCTCCCCTCCACTTTTTTGAGGACCAACCGGTGCCCCTCTTTCCAATTTGCTTGCCTGCTGCCCCGTCATCCCCACCCTGGCCGATGACAGTCTCATCATCTATCCTAGCCTCACCCTCCCCTACCACATCGGTGTCGCAATGGGCCTTGACGAATCGGAGCATGAGGAAAATGAAGAGGAGGAGGTTACCTCTCGATCCTATGAAGGGCAACGATCAAGGCACCGCCTCAAAGTGCTGTCTTGAAGCGTTGCTTTCCTCCTCCCCTTCACTTTCTTGAGGACCTACTATCGCCCCTCTTTTCAACTTGCTTGTCTATCATCCCATCATCTCCACCCTGGCCGGCAGTAGCCTCATCGTCCACCGTATCCCTCCCCTCTCATACCATATCAGTATCCTAATAGGCCTCAATGAATTGAAGCATGAGGACGATGAAGATAAGGAGGTTGTCTCTTGAACCTATGAAGGACAATAGTCAAGACGTTGCTTTCCTCCTCCTCTTCTCTTTCTTGAGGATCTACTACCACCCCTCTTTCTAATATGCTCAACTGTCACCCTATCATCCCCACCTTAGCCTGCGACAGTCTTATCATCCACCCCAGCCTCACCATCACTTACCACATCGACATCATAATGGGCCTCGATGAATCAAAGCACGAGGACGACAAAGAGGAGTAGTCTGTCTCTCGAACATATGAAGGGCAATGACCAACGCACCACCTCGAAACACCGCTTTCCTCCTCCCCTTTACTTTCTTGAGAACCTACCCCTCTTTCTAACCTACTCGTTCATTGTCTCATTATCCCAACCTTGGTCAATGGCGACTTCATTATTCACCCCAGCCTCACTCTCTCCTATCACATTGGCATCTAGCGGGCCTCAATAAATCGAAGTATGAGGACAATGAAGAGGAGGAGGCTGTCTCTCGATCCTTTGAAGGGCAACGGCTAGAGTGTCGTGATGCTCCCATTGTTTGTCGAGGTTGATGAGTTCTTTGACCTTTTGGGTACAGCACCGACTAGAATCAAGGATCAGAGTATTATAATGGCCCAAGTAGTAGCAACAATTCTAGTACAACTATGAGAAGAGTAAAGATGAGGTACCAAAGCAAATATCCTATTATTAAGTTATCGAATAATGAAGCTCACTCAATTGTAAGAAAAGAGAGATCGGATCCACGAGTGACATCGGTAAGTATTTAATTTTTTTTATTTTGAATTACTATGTTGAATGCATTTTATTGAATTATAATATGTGTTATATTTTATCTTAATAATGTAAATTAAGAATTTTTTAAAATACTAAAATAAAGTATAAAATTTACTGAAGATCCTAAAAACACTACCAAAGTGCTAGTAGATAATATAATTCAAAAAATAAATTAATTTTTTTATATTGAATATGTCAAGAACTACTTGATCTGCCACTATATGTAATAAAAATGCTACTTACATAGTATCAAGCTTAATGAATTTTGATCAAATTTGTACCAAGATATAAGAAAAAAAAAGCTTAAAACTGAGCCATCTAGAAAAGTGATCCATTTAATGATTATATATATAGAATTATAGATATTGCAATGAGAATTTTATCATTTATAGTTATATATTTCTTATAGAATATATAATTTTTATTTAATATGTCAATTGAGTTATTTTTATTTTTATTATGTTTGTGGTGTTTTTGTCTCTTGTTTTTGTCTCTTTTTATTATGTCTCTTGTTATTATTAACTGTCGTAATGATTTCAATTAAAGTGAGAATGAAGGAGATGAAATAGAAAATTAGTTGGCAAATATGATAATATAAGAGGAGGTCAAGAAAATTAATCAACAACCTATGATTCATGAGACAAACTTTACTCAAATTATATATATATTGAACCAGCTTAAATAATCTACCGTCATATTATTAGAAGATGAAGAAAAGGGTAATAGTGATGGTAAAGATGCAGCGATTAGTACAAAGTGGATAACAAAAGCAAAAATAAATTATAATATTCATACTTTG